AGTTTTACGTTTCTAGTTCATTGGCAATGTAAAAATGAACCGTACCAGTTTCTGAGTGCTGTTACACAACACTGTACAGAGCTGAAGCTCTCTGGGAGTTCAGCTGAACCCCTCCTCTGATCCACACAGATCCACACGGGACAGAACTGGGCTGTGACATGGTTGTGGGATGGAGCCCTGGGGAATGTGGCACGAACACACTGCTCTGGAGGCTGTGCTTCACCAAAAGGTTCCTTCAGAGAACACAGAATCACTGGGGTTCGTGAGCAGAGCAGAGCAGAAGCTGAAGCTGCTCACAGCTCTGCTCCTTCTCCAAGTGCCCCACTGTGTTTATAGGCTCTTATTATATTTTTAATTGCTACAGAGAACAGAAGCAGACCCACACCAGAATATCTGTTTATAATGTAACACATAAACAAGGAAGCTTACATGAAAGCAGTGTTGATTTTTTCTTTTACATTCTTCCTTATTGTTGTTGTTCTTAATGACTACTGGTCAACTGCACACTGCAGTTTTGTGTTTAACTCTTATGACACCCCAAACACAAAAGCTGTTGTGCAGTGAGCACAGTCCTCTGAGACCTGGACAGAGATGAGGCAGCTGTGGCTGTACTGAAAACCATCTTCCTAACCTCAAAATTTCAGCCGCAGAGGTCAAGTCATAGTCAGTGCTTGCACTGGACAGAGTTCAGTCAGTCAGATTACCCTTCTTAATCCTACAAGTGCTTCACTTCAAGTCTTCTCTGACGGTGTCATAAAATTTTGGGGACTGCATTCTCTACTGTAATATTGCTTGTGCTTTGTGGAATGCTGCCACTCAATACAGACATTGCCTTGGAGTCTAACCTTTGTGAGATAGTGGCCTTTTGGTAAAAGCATGCAGTCTCTGGAATAAACAGGTCTTTTGTAAACTTGCACTATTTTGATCCCGAACAGAGTTTCTTCCTCATTTTCCCTCAGGAGATTTTCTTCTAAATGGACATAAAGCCACTCTAGTCTGAATATACTACTTGTTATCTTGGGAATAAGAAAACATATTTCTTAACTCAAAAACATGCCTCTCAATACACGGTTGAACAGGCTAAAGCTTACTGTTAGTTCTCAGAAGAAAATATTCTTCTGTCTATGAGAACAAAATTTTATATCTATCTGTGAAGGAATACTGGAATATTTCAGCATCATGGGACAAGAAGTGTGGGGAGTTTATGAATTTTGCATGACATAAGTGTTGCTATCTGTATGCTTGAGAGGCCACTAGATGATTAAATTGGATATAGTTTTGTTGTGCAAGGGAAGATATGGATCCACAAGCTCAGTGGCTACAGAACTACAGGGCAAGTGAACAAACCGATGGTAACATAGAGAATTAACCTCTCTGCTTCCCCTTACTCTGCAGCTGAAGACCCAGGGCCAGAGGTGGTTTAGGAAGGGTACCCACCTCTAGGACACAACATGGGGCCCACCACAAGATTCTCTGGAAGGGGAATGAAACCACATGTGCTGCAGAGTGAAACCTGGCACAAAATAGGTTACTCAGGCAGAGCAGGAGCTGAGGTGTCCTCTTTGCCCTACCTTACGTTTACATATCAAGGGATGCAGCTGGGAGAGATCCTTTCCTGGGTCCCTGCCAGCCCTGAGAAGAGAAATACTTCATATGACAGATTTTAGATCTTGGAAACATAGGGACATGCAGATGTGCCAGGTGCTAAAGGAGTGTGGAATACTCAAGGTCACTGACTCACATGTCTGTATGTTGCTGGATGGAGGCACAGAATATTCCAGCAGGACCTGAAATCTGTGAAGAAAATCCTCAGATGTGTAGTTGCCTTACGACTAGCCTACTCTTTTGGAAGAGTGGTGTGCCCTGGTTTGAACTGGTTGAAAAAAGGAAGAGAGCTGCACACACTGACCAGCCCGATGCAGGAAAAGAGGTCACCCTTATTTAATCCAAGCCCTAACACAAAGCCATTATATACAGTTTCCAGAGCAGAGAACTGACAAGATTGCTGAATGGCCTGGCCAAGAGCCCAAATGTCTGATAGCAAACTCTGCACGTGTGTAGACTCTTTAGTGGTTTACAGTCTGTTTTGTTTCTTGAGCAAGTTCTGTTTAAGCCTATTTAAATCCAGGGTCACTGGCAAACGTTTTCCCTGAGAAGATGAAATGGCAGGTGCCACACACCCCCACAGTGACCCCAGGAACTCCCCTCTCTGGAGGGAGGTGTCACTCCCAGAAGGTGATGGGAGAGTTGACCTTTGAAGATGTGCTCCCGAGGAGGCCAAAAAAGGGAGAAGGATGGCAAGACAGCTGGGCTGAGGCAGGCCATGCCTACCTTCTCTGGGACACTGCTTGTCCACCAGCATTCTGCCATAACAGGTAGAGCCTTAGCTTCCCCTTGCTCTCGTTGGGAGAAAGCTCTTCACAGCCACCTGCAGTTGTGCAATCAGCATGTTAACGTGCTTGTATGTAACTGCCTCTGAGCTGAGCACACTGTCTAGACCCCACACAAAGCACCAATCTGACTTTCTAAACTGCAGCAAAATGCTAGATTTGAAATATGCAAATCCAGAGGTATCTCTCCCCTCAATGGTATGTTATCAGCAAACAGTAGGCTAAAAAGAAGACAACTCCCCACTCCCTTGAGCAAACTGGCTGGATGGATTTAAGTACCACAGGGATTTGTAAGATTTTTTAAACTTCTTTATAAGGAGATAACAAGATAAGCAGAGGAGATGGAAGAAAAATTCTAAAACCAAAAATTGCTCAGCTATCAACCTGAGGTTCACCATTCCTGATGTCCCCCACAGAAACATAAGTCATTGCTTTTCAGTATCACATTAAAAAACCTCTGGAAATTGTTGCCAGAATATATTTTCAGCACCAGAGGCACCACCTTGGAATCTTCTTGGGCTTTTCTTTGTCAGTGAATAGTCCCAGCAAAATAAGTGGGTCACTACTCATAAAAAAAGTGCTGCATAACCAGACTCCTCTTACTAGACTGCTAAACCAGATGTGATCAGTACTAGAGTGTTTATCTCAGAAGATATGTTTATTTTGCTTTACTACCTGGCCTGTTTTCCTAAAGGAGAAGTTCTAAATCCATTTTTGATACTGCAAATCCAAACAATTTTGCTCATTACTATCTTCAATGGAATTTAGTAGAAATAGTCATATTACATCAATAGGGTGACATACATGACATAGTATTTATGTGTGAAAATGTCTGCAGGATTTAGTTGCAAAACACTGGACTGACAGTGTTCAGCTGGTTGGCTAAAAGTGGTTGATAGAGTCCAAAAATCCAACTGCAAAAAAAATTTAAGATCTTCCAAAATATTTGAGGTAATTTAGATTTCATGAAAACATCATAAATTTGTGTAAGTAGAGTTCAAAAGATGGACAGTAGCAATAATAAAGAAAAAGAGTCATTTAGCAGCACAGAGGTGGGCTATATACAAAAGAAAAATGACAACAGAAAGGCTCTACTCTTTTAAAAGTGTACTGTAGAATTTGGGGAAACCTGGAGGCCCCAGCAGCCTTCAGTCACATAGTTGCTAATCACATTGACAGAAAGCTGAATCAAACATCTAATAAAAGTGCAACTTCACTAGGTTTGAATTTAGAAGGCTTGCAGAAGAAAAGAATTCACCAGTTTGTTTTTGCTATAGGATTTGCTTGGTATATAGTTCTCATTTTAGGCACTGGAATGGTTTGATGATTTTTTTTCTCTTTTTTCCTCTATTGTTATTCTGAACAATAGAAGTAAAAGAGAAAACAAAATGTGAAAGGAGTTAGAAAGATCAACCAAAAGGCCTCGTTGCCCAGCTGAGGGTGGGCCAAACAAGCTGTCTAAGCTTGGCTCAGGAGTGCTGCACCATTTTCAGAAGCGTGGGCTGTGGGTATGGTGCTCTGCATCTTTTGCAAGAACATTAGCAAATGAATTAAAAAAAAAAAGAAAACCAAAGATAAGATGTTTCCAAGAGGGAACTTGGTGAACATATCTTTTGCATTCCCTAGGGCAGTGGAGGTCAGTTTGCTCCTAGTTTACAATACACCATTTCCAAGAGATATATTGATGCTTCATGAAATTCAAATGTTTCTTTTATCTATTCCATGCTATAAACCCACAGTTGAATTTATGAAGTGGCAAGAATCCGAGGGGTTGTCAGCCTTCACCTCAGTGAATTCTCACACGCCTATGAAGAAACAAGTGGTGTGGATTTGGTTCCATACCAACCCCAGCTTTGCTGAGTCCATGCAGCCAGGAACTGTCCTGCTTCTGCTCCCTGCAATGTGTACCTGTTACCAAACCCCCTCAAGCACACTGCAGAGCACAGCCAGTGGCACAGGCCCTCTGGGTAGCACCCTGGGATGGCCAGAGGGTATGGCCATTGCTCTGGGGCACAGCAGCCACTGGGAAGGCCATGCAATAGCAGAACAGTCATCCAAAAGTGCATCTTCCCCAATAAAGTTATTTAGAACCTATCTTCTACAATTTAAGCCTGTCAACAGGACTGGCTGTGCAGAGGGAAGGGCTTTATGTACCAAAAAGTGCTAATAAGCTGTTTGGACTACCAGCTGAATTTTTCATTAGCAGTATTTCCATTTGGGAATTCTTTGAGATAATTCAAAGCCACTTCACTGGCTTTTTATTTCTTGTTTCATATTCCACTTAAAGGGCACGTTTTGCAATTCCTACAAGTAGTCCTGGTGCCAGTAGTGATACTCTGGCAGCTGAGGTTTTAGGTTCTTAACCTACTTAAAAACAATTCATTATTAAAATTTGGTGAAAAATATGGAGATATTTCCTTTTCTGGTAGGACATGTAAGTGCTGCCACCAACTATGAGCATCATTAAGGCGTTTGAATTTTAGTAGGTAACTGGCCAGTTGCTGGGACTCGCATCTCAGTGGGCACTTAATTAATTTCTAGAAATAAGCAGATCTGGAAACATCAACAATATCTGTCACAGAGAGATCATAAATTCTGAAAAGCACATACCTGTTCCAAAATGGTGTTGATTCTGTCTACTTCACAGTCAATTAGGTATCTTTTTTCTTGCCGCCTGTCCATCTCCTCTATGATTCTTCTGAACTCCTGAACATCCTTTATGCTTCCTACTGACCTGGCTGTCACTTGCCAGTTGTTCTGTACTGCTGCTTCCATAATGGCCTGAAGAATGGAAAATCCTGCAGGGGGAGAGACAATGCAAACATTTAAAATGAGAACGAAAACAAAACCTATCTGGAATGTTTGCAAAGGCTTCACAAGAACTTGCAGCATCTAAAGGGACACAGAGCCTGCGAGTGCTTCAGTGCTTGAGAAAGGAACGGTGGTGGGACCAGTTTCTTCTTTCAGCTCTTCCACTGACCTCCGCAGAATTGCTCAGTGGTCTATTACTGTGAGGCGTATCAGAATCTGTCCAATCTATCATATTATGATCCTCTCAGGGATGTTTATGGTCGTGCTGGGGTCCGTGCCAGCTGAGAATAGGAGCCTGCAGCCATTACTCGGGCAAAAGCCCATCAGCTTGAGGAGCTGGACAGAAGGGGTAATTTGCCCGTGCAGACTGCAGCAATGGGTCATTAACTGGCAAAGACCCAAGCACTGCACAAGAATGCCAATTGAGTCATTGTGCTGGTTATTGGAGCCACGAACCACAGGAGAATATTTTACTGATATTCACTTTGATTTCAAAAACTGTTTTTAAACATGGAGTCTAGCAGCATTAACCACACTTTCAACGCTTTCATTAAGGTTCTGTCAACTCATTTAGCAGCCTCCTCAGAGGAGAGAAGCAGCACAGAATGACCAAAGCCTGCACAGTGGGATATTATACAAGCAAACACCATTTCATTTCTTGTGAACAGCCGTGCCTGGGCAGCAGACAGAACTCAAGTCCCCAAGTGAAAGGTGGTGGAACTGGGAATGGCAATCTCCTTCAAATCATGCTATGTAGGAGTCATCAGACATTGATTTGCACCCCTGTAATTATAGTGCATAGCTGGGAATTTGGTGAGTTACCTGTTTTGATTCAGGAAACTAAAAATTTTTGCATTGTTATAATTGTTTCAGGTCTGGGCGGCTGCCAATCAAAGACAGAGGTCATCTACTTGAAGCACACACAGGGGTTTCCAGTGGGGATTCTTTGTACAGAACGATCCAGGGGTTCTGTCCAGATCATTTATTTGCAAAACTTTCAAATCATTTAGTCATACTGTACATTTCTTATCCACAGCCAGATTTGAGACACTCAAAAAGTCTTCACACACACAAACACATGAACATACAGGATCAACAAATCAATTATCAATTGTGCTCTGTGATAACCAGTCCCCTACGCTTCTGAAAGAGAAAGGAATTGGAGCCACAGAGTTCACTGCATCGAATTATCCCAACAGCTCCTCTGAATGCAGATATCACTGTAGGGATGTACTGATAACAAAGAACTTCTGCTGCAGCTTGATCTTCCGTAGCCTGCTGTAAATCTGTAGTGGCTGTCTGAAGCCAGAGGAGCTGCACCATTACCTCATTACAGACACAAACAAGGGAAGAATGTGATTTTCTAGATTGCAGTTAGGTTATTATAATTTACCATGTGACTTCCTTAAGTCTCACTCACATGCCCTCACTTGCTCTATGCAGCCTCCCTGACTCTTAACGCATTTCTTTGTATGAATGCACTTTACTATCCCATGAAAGATGGTGACAATTAATAAGTACACGGGTTGGAAATGCTTTCTGGCATCTTCCTTCCCCTGAGACTATTGAAAGAGAGGCATTTACATATGTATAGTACAATGAACTCAGTCTTCCTTAACATCATATTTTACAAAAATGGTTGTGATATCTGTGACAGCATCATGATTCCATCACATGTAGGAGGAAGCTCTAAGGCTAAGATACTTGGCTAGCTGCAAACAAGGAATTCTGATGTGGGGACATAAAGACCACCAACTGGGATTTACAAATGCTTTGTGTACAAAGGTGTGCTTTTAAAAATATATGACTCCACTAAGTAATGAATATTTAAAACTTTGCTTCATCACTCATATAATGTCTAAGTACAAACCATTTGTTTGCAGTAAACAACAGAAAACAGTCCTTAAGTCTATTTTTTTCACCCCAAATTGAACTAAATGCTTCAACATATTATATAAAAAAGCAGACTTTTAAAAAAAGCTGAAGGTCTATTTTTTCTAATAACACATACAAAACTTACAACTGTCTCAAGGACAGAAGTGAAAATGAACATGCTGGAGAGCAGATGCCATCGGTGGAGTGCCACACACCCAGTTTCAGTTAATGCTGCTTCAGTCAGAGCTCACTTTGTCCAACCTTGAATATCTCAGAAGAAAGCTGGGCAATTTTCCTAATTTTGTGCAATTGCCATGTTTGTGTTTGTGTGAGCATGTGTATTAGTCAGTGGTTACCAATCCAAGAAAGAGAAGAGCAAGGTTACTCAGCAGCATTTCTCCTATGCATGAAAATACAATTACAATAATCTTAAGTGTTAAAACATTCCAGAGCTTCATCATTTCTGTTTTCTCCACCTCCTCTTTGTCCTTGTCACACCCAGTCTTTACAGTCACAGTCCCCTCTACCCTTGCCAGTCTTTGTCATCCTCACCATGGTCACCATGCTGTATCAGCTCCTCTCGGGTCCCTTCCCTGAACCATCCTCACCCTGAGGAGCACCACTGGCCTTCCCACCACACGAGTCCTCTGCTGAGCTTTAGGGAGGCCACTCCCCTTGTTTTACAAAAGCATGGTTCCAGTCCCCTGCTTTCATGGGGGCAGCACTTGCCTCTTTGCCTCCATCTCGTTGCCTTCAGCACCACTGACTACACTTCACACTGGCACCCATTACGTGTGTTTCTGCAAACAACATGTTCCAGGCTCCAGCTGTACTCTGCCATTAAGAGAGCTGTTACATAAGCAGTGTGATTGTTTAAATAAAAGGACCATTTAATCTTCAAATGTGAACTTTTCTTTCTTCTTAGCATAACAATGCAAGCTGGGGTTCAGGGGTACTGCCTGGTAATGGATGGGGAAATTATTTTCCCTCTTCTATGCACGTCAGTGACCAGAGCTGTGCACTGAACTTTTCCATTCCCTACCTGAGCACTGAGCACTCTTATTTTGACCTTCTACAGTTTGCATCAAATCTATCCTGAAAGAATACAGGACTGATAATCCATCACAGGTCTGTGAAAGAAACCATGCAGTCTGTCATGAATACTGTTGCTGGTTTATATTACTTCAGTCTCTAAAGCAAAAAAAAAGATAAGAAAAAAATACAGCAATGAGATCATCTCAAAACACGTTTATAATACCATTACTAAAACTCAGAAGCTGTTCATTCTGCAGTCATTAACACAAATACAGGCAACAGGAAAAATCCATGCAGCCTCCAATCTGATCTTTCAACTTTTTCTTAGAGTTGCACCTTGGATGTGAGAAAGCAGCAGGATGGGAGGTATGTGTTTTTCTGGAAGCACTGCTTCTGGGGCCAGCTCATCTGATGGCACCACATCCCTTCCCTGCACTATGCCACTAGGGTGTTGGCATTACTGACATACTATGTCTGGTCACACAATGATGATGTTGTCCACAGGTGCCAGGTCATGCAACAACCCATATTATGTTTAGGTCCCTCTTAGCCCCATACTGGAGAGAGGTTACTCCTGTGATCTTTGAATGCAATCCCACAAGTCAATCTGATCTGCACGTACTAAAAGCTCAGACAATCCTGGCCTTGGAAAACAATCATTGTCCGGCTTATTCTTAAAATACTGAAGATCTTCTGAACAGTCTGAAAAATCAACTAGCCAACTTGGAACAATCCCCAACATTCAAAATCCAAACATGTCAGGCAAGTATGCTTTGCTTAACCTATGTCTGCTTAACAAGACTAGTACACTGGGATGCTCTTTCAGTTAACACATGTAAGTTGAAATTATTAAACAGAATTTGAATAACAGCATTCCATCTGGTTTCTACCTGATAACATCTATCTGGTCACCAGCATGCAAAATGTTACACTCCACTATTCTAAGCGTTACACTTCAGGACTTGAAGCAGACAACCTTCTAAACCAAGTAGCAAACACACACTAACATTATTTTCTTCTGCTTTTCCTATTCAGTGAACCTCTGGTTTCCCCTGTACATAATTACATTATTGCAATCTGTCATCCATAAACAGAGAAATCTACACAAAGAGATATGTCAGTTTGGTTGAGTGAATGGGAACTTGCCTGGCTCAAAGGAGAATTTACAGGAACCATCTGGTCTGTATTTGCTCAGGATGGGCTACAGCTAAACATGCAGGAATCCAGATCTGCTGAATGCAAGTAAAAAGAGGTTGGTTTTTTTTTTTTTTTTTTTTTAAATGGCTCTTTCTGAATGCAATTTACCTTGATCTGATCTTTCACAACAACCTCTCGTCCAACTCCTGTCATTTTATTCAAGTTTTAGGTCAGTGCAACTCCAGTGCCTCTGAATGAAGCTGTGTAAAATGAGAGCAATGTAGTAAGAGATCAAAGAGTACAACAACCAAGGGCAGACATAGAGATGCTGTAAGGAATGCTGTCACTTCCATAAGGGGACTCCTCTGACTTTCACAGTGATGTGGGCAAGTCTCCTGGTGTAGGACAGAGAGGTTCACCTCAGTACATCAATATAAGCCAAAGTTCATTGATAGGGCTGTCTTCTAATTTTAGCTTTGCTATGCAAATCTTTATTTAAATAATTTCCAAGGGAATAAAAATTGAGTGATTATAGCTTCTGGATGCAGACAGGTACAAAACAGATGAGATGGGAACACTTTAAAACCAGAATATTCTGCTTGAGGAAAATCTAAAAGATAAACAATTGTGCAGAGAAGGCAGAGGAACTAGCACAAAAAAAAAAACACCAAAAAAAAAAAAAAAAAAAACCACAAAAAACAGAAAAAATACCAGTGTGTTTTGAGACGTGACAGAAGGTGAAGAGCACTGTGTTGTCCACTAGGCACGTGCTGTAGGGTATCCTCTGTACACTTATTACTAAGAACCCTTGATACTGATGCTATCAGAAAGCTGAGAGGTGAAGATGCTGAGATTTGGGAGACACAGGAAAACCTTCTTTACAGGCAAATGTCAAATCCGTAAAATTACATCAGCATTAAGAATTACCTTCCAAGCTCTA